GGAGGCTGTCTGGAGCACCATGGAGCAGCAGAGGCCCTGTCTGGAGCACCATGGAGCTGAACCTTGGCAGAGGCTCTGTCTTGGGCACCATGGAGCTGTACCTTGGGGAGGCTCTGTCTGGGGCACCATGGAGCAGCAGAGGCCCTGTCTGGGGCACCATGGAGCTGCACCTTGGCAGAGGCTCTGTCTCGGGCACCATGGAGCTGTACCTTGGGGAGGCTCTGTCTGGGGCACCATGGAGCAGGAGAGGCCCTGTCTGGGGCACCATGGAGCTGTACCTTGGCAGAGGCCCTGTCTGGAGCATTATGGAGCTGTACCTTGGGGGAGGCCCTGTCTGGAGCAGCATGGAAATGTACCTTGGCAGCCACTCGGCTCAGCTCCACAGAGAGGTCCCCGCCGGTGTTGCCGATGCCAAGCACCAGGACACGCTTCCCTTGGAAAGCCTGCACGTCCCTGTACTCCCAGCTGTGCAGATAATGGCCTTTAAAGCGACTTTCAATGCCTAGGCAGAGAGCAGGGAGCATTTCCTACTGCCAGATACACTTACTCACCCCAGCCTCATGCTCAGATCCTCTGCAGCCCCCAACTGTCCCCGCTCCCACCTCCCCTGGCAGCTGAAAAGCCCATGGAAGTGCCCTGTACCTCCTCAGCTCAGTCTTGCTTTGCAAATCCTAAGGGAAAAGCCTGGCTGCACCTTTACAAAGTGTTTTTCCCATTCCCTGCAATGCCCCCCACCATTTCCACGGGGTCAGGGTCCTGCCTGCTCCACTGTGGGGGCTTCATGGAGCAGGCAGGCTCACAGAGGAAAATCCAACCAGGGACTGGGGGAACCAAATCCAGCCATGGCTGCTGGGGGAACCCCACTGCTGGGAGAGGCCTTACCTGGGAAAGAAGCCAATGGCAAGTAGGGCTCCTGGTAATGGCCAGTGCACACCATGACAGCGTCGAAGACGTGGGACTCACGGACACCATGGCTCTCAGTGACCACCTCCCACCGGCCTGAGGTGCTGAAATCCGGGCACTTCCTCACACTGAGAACTGTTGTCTTGCACAGAAGCCCAAGAGAACAGCAGTCAGGGATCATGGAGATGTGCCTGTAAAAGGCTGGGTCCCTGGGGAGCTGCGTGACACTTCTGAAGCCATTAAAGCCCACCCTGTATTTCCCCTGGTGATGGCACTGGGAGCAAGGCTGTGTTAAACCAGCCTTAGTTAAAACATGGGCTAAAGTCTGCATTCAGGACTCAAAAGGCCCTTGAGGGCTGGCACCCAGCCTGGTCCCATCCCACCTCCAATCTGCAGCTGCGCATGGTTCTTCTCCCCATGGGTTTGAGGTCCCTGCTTGTCAGAACCCAGGACATTCCTCTGGCTGCCCTGGGTGATTCCAGACCCTGGCAAGGGGCTCAGAGACCTTGGCACAGAGTCACAAACACCTGTGCCTTTGATTTTAGCCCATGGAAATGATTACCAACTTTGTGTGAAGATTTAAAAGCCACAAGAGTTTGAGTAGAAGGATAGCTAATTTGTCACAGGGTGAAAAAGTAGAATTTTGGGGATTTAGAATGGGGGTTCAAGAGGCAAGATGGAGGAATCTGGGTGTGTCCTGTCCTTCTTCTTCTTTCCCTCCATCTTCTGCTGTGATGGTGACACTTCTGTATTGGTTTAGAGTAGAGACAGAGTGTCTAACATAGGTGAAAGGTATTGGAAAATTGTTGTAAATAAAGTACACGTAGTTCTTAGTATAAAAAGGTGACACCACCCCAAGGGCAGGGACTGTGCCACAACCCAACCTGCTGGACAGATCTCAGCAGGCCAGAGAAAGAATGGAACAGATAAGAGAAAATAAACAAACTTGAGAAGCAGAGCTGAGGAATCTCAACTTCTTCTTTGGTCATAGGGCTGGGAAAAAAAACTCTTTAACACCTTGGGAGCCATTGCAGCATCACAAAACCCGAGAGCTGCTCACCTGGAAGCGAATGTGCCGCAGGAGGTCAAAGTGCTGGGCGTACATCCTGAGGTATTCCAGGACCAGGCTGTGGGGCAGGTAATTGGGAAAATCCTCGGGGAAGGGGAAGTCACTGAAGCAGGACATCTCCTTGGAGGTGTTGGTGATGACTGAGCGGTACACAGTGATCCTCCTGCTGTCTGTGGAGTCCTGTGTGAAGCCAGCGCTGATGTTTCCAGGTGTGCAGGGGAAGAATTTCTCCCCATCAAGTATGTAAGTATTTTCTTCCTCACATTTTGGTACAAGGAATAAGCCAGGACTAGCACTTGGAGACAATCATTACTGCTCCCTCTGTATGATTAAGCACTTTTCTGACCCAGAGATGGAGCAACTGAGAGGCATTTTAAAACTTTTATTCTATTTTTAGTCTCACTTGAAGGGTGAGACAGTACAAATGTTATAATTCACACCATCACAATCAGAAGCCAACTAATTCTTAATTACAATACACTATAAGCATTTCTTGGCCTATCAGTTTTTGCTACACCATGCTGTAAATGCCTTAAAGCCAATTATCTAAAATTACCCCTCATGGGTCCTCCTACAATGCATCTTTCATAGTTCTATTTCTCCAAAGCATTTAGTCTTATTGGCAAGGCTATCCTTTGAAACTTGTTTCTAGTTCCATTTCTCTCTCAACAATGTCTGTCCTGTTCCAAGGCATTTCTAAGTCAGGATTTGTTATCTCAAGGTTTGCATACAGATGCACACTATGTGAGCCTTCTGCCAGGTTTTGAGAATTCTCTACAAATCCATTTTCCACATCTCCTCCTCTCTCTTGAACAGAAAAAACTTCTTTGATGGTTTTGTTTATCATTTGCAAGTGAAGTACACAAGGCACAATCATTAACATTGTCACTACAACAATCAAGGCATATAAACCTTTTTTGCAAAGCTCCTTTAGCCAAGGTGCAAAACTCCATCCATTTCCCACCCCCTCCATTTCCTTCTCCATCTTGGAGTCAGGAGGAGCCCCAGGAGTGGGACAGGGACAGTCCCTGAGGGCGAGGTCACCCTTTCCTCTTTGCTGCAGTCCCAGAGCATCCAAGGAAGCGGATGAGAGGAATAATGGATTTGTCTTTACAAACAAGCTGGGGGTCTGCTGGTAGATAAAACCAGCACTGGGAGAGAAAAGAAACAATGGGAAGGATTCCACTGATTGATGAATGGAAAAAGAGATTTGATTTTACAAATAAACATTAGGTTTGCTGACAAAAGAAATTAGACATTGAAAGATGAAAGAAACAATGGGGAAGAAAAACCCCTAAATTCCATAAGAATTAAAAATGAAAAGGGAGGGTTGTACATTAGAGGGAAATCTTTGGGATCAGGTATTTTGGGAGGTCTGAACCTCTCAAGTCCCTCAGAAATGGGGAAAGAGAGAAGGGAAATGCAGCCGGGAAATTGGGATAAAAAGGAGGCTGCGTCCTCCAAAAATCGGAGAGATCCCAGGGCAATACCCCATGGCCTCTCCCTTTATTCAAATAAAATAAAAGGACTCCTCTGTCTCCTTTAGGACATAAACCTCTGGTGTTTGTGGGTTAATTTTCCTGAGAGGGACAAGCCCGGGGCAGACGCGGGGGGCACTGACCGTGTAGCGCCAGACGCCGCCGATGTCCTCGCTGCTCTCGAAGCACGTGGGCTCCAGCCCCTCATCCAGGCAGCACTTGACAGAGGCCAAGCCCCCAGCCCCAGCCCCAATCACAGCCACACGCCGGACCATGGTGGCCTGCAGCAGGTGACAGGCTGGTGTGACAGCAGCTGCAAGCACAACAGCCCGGGGATCAGCAGAAACGCCATTTCCTCCTTCCCATCCCCACCAAAACACCGCTGGTCTTCTCCAGTTGCAGGTGTTCATGAAGGAAAACTGTCCTGGGAGAACCCCACAGCCAGCTGCTGGTGCACAGATCCTGCTCATTACCCTCCCAAACCCACTCTGGGGGTCCAGCAATCTCCCTCCTCCATGGGATGAAAAAGGAGGCACTTTTAAACCTTGCTGTTCTGCTGCTTCAATTTATTCTCTTTTCCACACATGCAGCTATCTTCTTCCTGATCATCCTGAAACCTTTGGGAGAAGCAAGTCCAGCTAAGCTGGCTCGTTTTCACGCTTTCCCTTTTAACTTCCCATTAAAGAGCAATCTCTTGAAAACAAAAAGGGTTTAAAAAGAGGGAGGAAAGCAAAGCAATGCCTGACTGAGCAGGAGCAGGGTGCAGCCATTCAGAAGTTAGACAGCTCTGTGAAAGCAAGGCTGGGATTACAGGGTATACAAAAGGTAAGGAACCCGGGAAACGCTGGAGATAAATGGGAGGAACTCAAAGCTGGGCTGTGTAAACTGAGCTGCGCCGAGCTTGAGTGGAAAGCAAACTAGGAAAAAATGAACTCGCACGCACTTTGATTAGATAAAAAAATACCGCTACTGCAGGGTCAGCAGAAAGAGTAATTTGTAACTTTTTCTAACGGTTTTGTGTCAAAAATTAAATTAAAACAAACAGAACCTGGAGGAAACTGAAGAAAGAAAAATGAAGGAGGTGCAAAACAACCCCTTTGGCATCCACAAGCCTGGCCTGAGCCACTCCTTGATCTGCAGGAACATGCCCACAGCTGCCTGCCTCGTCTCTGGAGCCTTCTTTGGCTTCGGGAAAGGGCAGGCAAGCTCAGGGTGCTCAAGCCACCCCCTTTTCCAGCGCTGCCTGCAGATGGATTCACTCCAGAGGGTCCCTGCAAAACCCCTCTCCCCCCACCAGCAGCAAGGCAAAGCCAGCAGTGAATGCCAAAACCCCGGAGAGCTGTCTGCCCACTTTTAAACCCTGCCAAGCCCACCCAAGAGAACTGAGGAGCAAACCTTGCAGGACAGCGCTGTGCCTTCGCCGCTCTGCCCTCTCCGGATTTCCCTTGAGTTCCTCTGGCCGTGGATTGGAAGGGAAGGCTGAAGTCCAGGCAAGCCTCAGCTCTTGCACCACTGACCTTTACACCTGCATTCCCCCCGCCCTGTGGGCTTAAATGCACTGGAAGAAAGTTCTCAGCCTCCCTGGGGCAGTGCCAGGTGAAAATTCAGAGATAATCCCAAAGGGAACTTGCTTGCGAGGACTCCCACGCTGTAACTCGTCCCTGCTCCAGCCCAGGCAGCAGCGTGGGGCTGTGCTGATCCTTTTGTGGTGCCTGTGCTGGGCTCTTGTTCCCTTGGCATCCCCAGGAGATCAGCAGAACACGCTCCCTTGACCAGCAGACAGCGTGGATGTGGGACATGGAGCACTGTGCAGCTTCATTTTGGGCAGTCAGGGAGAGCCCTGAGAGCCCCAGCCTTGCGAGCTGCCCACGGCAATTGCTGGCACAGCCCCACTCAGACACAGCTCTCCCCACCATGCACACAAGGAAAACACAGGGACCATCTGCAGCACGCTCCTGCCACAGCCACTGAGATTTTATTCATTTAAAGTCTCTCCACGCACAAAACAAAGCCTCAGGATTGTCCAGTGGTGGGGTTCGCAGGGAAGCAAAGGCAGGAGTGCTCAGCCCCACAGGCTCCTGTGGTACAAACCTGGAATCTTCCCAAACAACCGGAAAGATGCACCAATTCAACCCCAGCTGGGATGTTGGGGTTACAGTGTTTAGGTTTGCAGAAGGGGACAGCCTGACCTGTGTACACAGCCCTGTGATAGATAATCACAGGAATATTTCCCCAGATAATTCTTGCTCCTGGGACACACCAGCACTTTTCTTGGTCTTGTCCTCTCTGCATCCTGTCTCGTGTCATCCAGGCACAATTGTGGCACCAATCCCTGCTCTACTCCTGGCAGCAGGCAGGGGAGCAGAGGGGCAAAATACACTTGGGCAAGGCTGCCATCCCTGGTTAATGAGGCCTGTAAAGCTGGGCTTGGGGTTGGGTTGGAACAAAGGGAGGTTTATGCTGCAGGTTGCAGATTAAAGTTTGTTGCCATCTACTGAAATCCTTCTCCCCAGTCCCGTGGGGCTGTCTGACCCGAGATAAAATCCCTCAGGACAAAAAAAACCCAAACAACCCAAACAAACACATTCCAAAATTTATAAGAAACCAAAAACCACAGCAGCCAGGAGCAGAAGGAGTCCCACCACAGTCAGGAGAGACAGGAAGGAGCTGGAGGAGCCAGCAGGGACTCGTGTTCTGGTGGGCTTCAGGACGCGGTCCCACTGGGTGAGGATGGCCTGCCGTGCCCCCTGCCAGCGCCCAGGACCCCCCAGCCTGTACTGGTAGGGGGAGCAGGGCCCAAAGAAGATGGTGAGAGCCAGCCTTGGGTCTGTGCAGAGCAGCCCCAGCACGCTGGGCTTGGCACCAATGAAGGAGGCCAGGGTGTCCAGGTAGACCAGCCACTCGGTTTTGAGCACTTCGTCAAAGGTCAGGCCAAACCTGAATGATCAGAGAGGAGAAAGACGCAGGAGGAAGGTTGGTGTCAGCAGGGCTTGGAGGAGCTGGGGTGGGCATCCTCTGCATCCTTATTGCATCTGGAATGCAACTGGGTTCTCTAGGAAAGGACTGGATGTAGGTGCAGTGGGAACCTGGGTTCTCTAGGAAAGGACTGGATGTAGGTGCAGTGGGAACCTGGGTGAGCCACAAATCCTGGCCCCTACGCTGCTCCTGTGAAGTGATGCTGGCTCCAGTCAATCTTTCTCTCCCTCACTCACAGGTTGCACCCGCTCCTCCCCTTCCCCTTGGTCAATCTTTGTTAGCGGACTTTGGTTAACAGTTTGGGGTCTTTTTCAAAGCAAGCAAACAAAAAAACCCCTCCAACCCAAATCCCTTTGCTTTTTGCAGAAAAGTCACGTGCAGCATGAGAAAGGTGGAGCCCTTTAGTATCCCTCACAATCATTTCTACCAAATACTGCAAGAATACACAGTGGCTTGGAGAATTGCTCCCAGTTCACCTTCTCTGCAGAATTCACAGCTTCATGTCCCACCTTCAGAGGTCTGCAAAAGCTCATATCCACTCAGCCTTGTATTGTATTGTATTCTGTACTTCGCCTTGTATTGTATCCTGTGCAATTCTGTACTTTACTCTCCTACACCTTTTCTCCTATAGCTATCTAAGTGAGCCTTGGATTTATCTATCACCCAGTTTCCTGGGATTGGCTCATTCATTCCCTAATCCTTTTAAGCCTTTTGCCTGCCTGTGAACCACACACCAGTGTGCCGAGACACCTGTTCACAGTGAGTCAGGTCTCCATGCTGTGAGATGAGACAATCAGTGTGTACACCTCGCTGGTTGTGGGTTGGTTTTTTCCCCCCAAGCTGAATTGCTTTGCATTTATTACCATTAATTTCTCTATTTTATCTCTCAGTCCCTGGGGATCCTGGTATTCTTCCCCAACTCCCATAGCCTTGAGTACCCTGAATTAATTTCTTGCTGTCACCAACAGGCAAAATATCAGTGTTAAATCAAAGGTTACATTGGCTCTTTGCAAATGAGTAAAGGGGAAGCTGGATCCAGGAATCCTCCCCTCTCCTCTGCCATGCCTGCAGGGAACAGGCACAGAGCGAGAGCCCCAAAAACTCCAGAGGTTTTTCAATCCACCAAAATACCTTTGGGGCTCTGGGGAATGACTTACCATTGGATTTGGTTTTCCTTCTTCTCATTTACTTCCTTCTCCATGACAGCCTGGGGAGGCAACTGACACAGGCCTGGAAGAGAGAGGAGAGTGTTCTGCAGACTTTAACTCCTGGGGGGGAACTGTGAACTCACTCAGTGATGCAAAATGTGGGAATCCCTTCCCTGGGAGGGCAGGAAACTCTCATTGCTGGCAGTTTATTTGGCAGTGCTGCAGTCCTGCCAAAAACCAGTATTCCAAATTCACCCACACCTCCTCCTGCTCTTACAGATGTGTCCTGTGTCATGGTTTGAGCCTGGCACAGAGCTCAGAATTCCCACTTCTTCCTGGTCAAACCATGACACCTGTCAGGGCACAGGCAGGTGATGTGGGGGCAGATGGGCTGTGCAAGCCCCAGAGAGGATCCTCCCAAAGAGAAACCCCAGAGCTTCTCATGTCTGTGGAGTAGTCCTGGTCCAGCCCTCCACGAGGTTATTCTTACTATTTTTATTAAATCCCCCTCCAAAAAACACCAGTGGGTTTCTTTCCTCACTCATGTTGCTGTAAGTTAGCTGAAGTGAAATGATTTGGGAAGTCTGAGCCTGGGAAATGCTCCCTTGTCCACTCTGAACTTCTTAGCTGTGGGATCTCCCTGGGTGAAGGGGAAAACCATTTCCAGTTTTGTCTGAGCTGCATTTTTGTGGCACAGGAGGGCTCACATTTGCTCCCCTACCTTTGAAGACACGGCTCACCCAGCGTGCCTGCATCTCTGCCACGGGCATGATGGCTCCTAAGGGCTTAATCAGCCCAAGGACAGCCAGGGTGGGCTTCTGCAGCTGGGGTGGGAACACGTATTTGTAGAGGGACGCGTGCTTGTTCTCCACCCTGACGATGGATTCTTCCAGGAAGGGGAAGGAGACGGTGTAGCCCGTGCAGAAGACAACAATGTCGATGGGCTCCTCCTCAGGGCAGTTGTGGAAAACCACTGAGTTGTCCTTGAACTCCTTCACACCTGGCTTGATGGTGATCCTGCCTGTCAGGATGTAGCTCGGCAGATCGTCGTTCAGCACGGGCTCCCGCACCAGCCAGCTGTGGAGAGCCAGGGCTCTGAGAGTGCGGCACCACAAACAAGCCTTGCTGCTCCCCTGCTCCTCCTCCCACCAGCTCACACCTCCTGGGGTCGTTTTCTCTGAGCAAACAGCCCTGCCTCCCACCTCCAAGCAATTGTCACCAATGTCACCCTGTCCCACGGCGTGAGTGACTCACGGACATCTGTCGCCTTACTCCCTCCACTCATTTACTCTTCACACCATCTCTTTCCAGAACTGATCCATGCTTTAAGCCTTCCTTCTCCTCCTTACCCACAGACCCTCCTCTGGGCCATCCTGGGTTTTTCCAGCGTGCCCAATTTTTCACCACTTAAGGGAGCTACAGCTTATTTTCTCCTCCCCACTGGAGATCACCCCAGCCTGGGCATTGGTTGATGCTGCTTGCTGAACATTTCCCCCTGCCCACACCACAAGCCTTTCAGCATGGGATGGGGACCACCAAGAAGTACCTGTTCTCTGGCTGAAGGCCATAGTTTGCATGGTTGAACCACTGGTTCACCTTATAATTAAGCAACCACCATGAAAGAGGTCCAGGGAGGTTGGTTTTGATCAGGCTCATCAGGCGAGTGTTTAAAATCATATCCCAAGGGTAGCCGTGCTCAAACACACGGCTGAGCAGCCAGGCTCCTCGAGTGGTGCTAATCATCACCTGCAAGAGAAGAAGCAATGCTTCAGGTGATGAATTTGCTGCTTTCCCTTTGTAAATAAACTCAGAGGGGCACGGCACAGACAGCTGTGCAATGGAAAAGCAGCAACAGCATCTTTAATTTCTCCTGGCTGATGGAGGTGAAACAGGAGACAAGAACAAAACCAGCTTGCTTTCAAGGTAGATTTTTGACCAAAAAATTCAGGCTCAGAAAGACTGTTTGTGATGACAGCACACTGAGCTACTGTCCCCTCTTACTGTGATATTTTATGAAAAATCCCTTCGCCAGGATTTCTTCTCCTGGGAAGCTGGGAAGCTTCAGGTTCTCCATGTTTTGCTGATCTGAAATATGACTTGGAGAATTGCTTACCCAACATGTGAATTGTTTTTAATTAATGGCCAATCACAGCTAGCTGTGTTGGACTCTCTGAGTCTGTAATGAATTTTTATTATTCATTCTTTTTTAGCCTTCTGATGTATCCTTTCTCTTTCTTTAGTATAGTTTGTCACACACATCTTTTATGGAAAATCCCTTCCTTAGGATTTTTTCCTCCTGAGAAGCTGAGAAGCCTCAGGAACAAAATGTAAACATTGATTATCTGCTGCTGTGGAGTGCATCAGGTGCATCTGTGATTGGTCTCATGTGGTTGTTTCTAATTAATGGCCAATCACAGCCCAGCTGGTTCAGACAGAGATCCAAGCCACAAGCCTTTGTTATCATTCTTTCTTTGTTATTCTATTCTTAGCAAGCCTTCTGATGAAACCTTTTCTTCTCTTCTTTTAGTATAGTTTTAATGTAATATATATCATAAAATAATAAATCAGCCTTCTGATGAAATCCTTTCTTCTAATCTTTTAGCATAGTTTTAATGTAATATATATCATAAAATAATAAATCAAGCCTTCTGAAACATGGAGTCAGATCCTCATCTCTTCCCCAACCCAAAAACCCCTGTGAACACGGTCACAGATGGCACGGTCACAATAGTTTTAGTGTATAATTTTCAAATAATATAATA